AGCCCCAGGGCTGACAGACTTCTGTCACAGCTCTGAGCCCCAGGGTTCCAGAACTAGAAGTCCCTACCCTTCCTGCTAACCCTCCCCAGGGTCTGGCCCCACTGAGTTGATCCAAAGTCAGGAGCCAGGAGCTTCCTCCAGGTCCCCCATGTGAGGTCCAAGGACTTGGGTCATCCTCGGCTGCTTTCCCAGGTGCATTAGCAGGGAGCTGGATCAGAAGTGGAGCAGCCGGGACTCAAACCAGCACCCATATAGGATGGCAGCACTGCAGACCAGGGCTTTAACCCGCTGTGCCACAGAGCCGGCCCATAGATGGTGCTCTGATCAGCATCTGGGAGCATGTGGGCTTGAAACTGGTGCTCCCTGGCCCTATTTTGGAACCTGACAGGGAAGGGCTGGTTCCACATCACATGCCCTGGGTGGCACCACCAGGAACCCTCTCGAAAATCCACAGGCACACCTGAGCACCACGAGAGGAGGTGTGGCAAGAGGAGGGGTAAAGTGTGAATACAGAAGGAACTAGAACAGAGTATAATGGAAGCTTCTCCCACGCTGAGGAGGGCCAGTGGTCAATCCTGGGCTGACTCCTGGGCCGAGGGTCTCAGAAGGACAAGCTCAGCTCCTTCCTCGGCTCAGCAAGACCCAGAGCCTGGGCTGCTGGTCTTACTGCACAGCCAGGACCTGTGAGCATCCAGCTGTCCCCCAGGATGCCTGGTGCATGCACCCAAAGACCTAGACCAGTGTCCCCAGGGATCCCCACATCCTCCACCCATCGCACAGGTGGCCACACTGGCTGCCCCTTGTCTGCAAGTCAGGGCCAGCCCTGCCCAGAGCTGGAAGTTCTGAGAGCCAGACCACCAAGACTGTCGGCTCCAGGCTGGCGGATGACTGGGTACTCTCTGCACCCTCAACCCCTACCCAGTGCCAGCCATAGCAGGTGCACAATGGCCCTTCATGCATAGATGGAGGAAATGAGTGGGTTACAAATGCTGGAGTCTTCCTTCTCCCCATTTTACAGATGAGGAGATCGAGGCCTGGAGAGAGGCAGCCTGAGGCTGCTCTAAGTTCCCCTACATGCCTTTAGCAGCATTGCCTGGGGTAGACTGGCAGTGCCTGCCTTACTCGCTCCCTGGAGGATCCCAGGGCCAGTGGAGGTACTGGCCATTTGCCCCTCCAAGGGTTTGCTGGGCTCTTCCCTCTGCCTGTATGTCCTTCTTCCTGTGCACAAATCCTTCACGGCACCCCTTTGGCTGGGCAAGTCTCCCTGGGGGGCCTGCCGACAGAATCCACCCATGCACACAGGTGCTCATGCCAGTGCCCTCAGCCTGGGAACTAGAGCTTGGCATACAGTAGGCACTCATAAATGCACAGGGAATTAAAGCGGCCCCTCTGGAGACTGCGAGGAATGCCCTGGGAGGAAGCAGCGGGGAGGCTCGGGAAGGCAGGCGTCAGGGAGCACAGTGGGATCTGATAACAGGGGCATGGGAGGGAGAACGAGTTCATTTCTCCCCATGGCCATTGGCCTGCAAATATTCACAAAGCATGCCCCGTCTCTGGGCCTTCCCCATCAACAGAGACACATATGTAAACCAGCTCTACCCCCAATGCAGCAGTGACTGGGTTCTGAGCTGCGCCCCAACCCCCAGGAGTCCCGAGGCCACACCAGGTGCCCCTCCCCAACCTGCCGAGGTTCCAGCGGCCACCACACAGAAGCCGCTGTGCCCCTTGCATCCCTAAAGGAGAAACACAAACACCTTTGGAAGTGCCAGCAAGGCCCGCTTGTGCAGAGGAAGCACAGAAGCGCCCCGAGGGGCTCTTGCAAGGCCAGCGGGGTTGGGGGTGGATTTCCCCTCCCCAGTCTGCCCACAGACACCCTGGGCCACCGACAGGGAGCCCAGGCCTGGAGCTCAGCTCTGCTGAAATGCTCACAACAGTGGCACAGCGGCGAAGACACCTGTTTGGGACGCTCATGCCCAATATCAGAGAGCCTGGGTTTCAGTCTGGTCTCCAGTTCCGATCCAGCTCCCTGCTAATGCACCTGGGAAGGCAGCAGGTGGTGGCTCAAGGGCTTGGGTCCCTGCCACCCTTGTGGGAGATGAGGATGGAGTGTGGGGCTCCTGGCTTCAGCCTAGCTCCGCCCCAGCTGTGATGAGCATTTGGGGAGAAAACCAGCAGATGAAGGATCTCTCTCCCTCTCTCCCTCTCTCCCTCTCTCCCTTTCAAATAAATAAAAATAAGTAAAGCTAAAAAAAAAAAAGAAAGCCAAATAAAGTGCTCAGAATTGAACCCAATCCACGGAAGCCTGGGGAGCCTGGACTTGTTCAGCCAAGTCCCAGAACCTCAAGGTCAAACCCTGACAAGGCACCAGCCCCAGCTCAGGGTCCCCTTCTTTGAATCCTCACAGCAGCCCATTTTAGGGATGGGAAACTGAGGACCAGCGCTCTGCTCACACAGGGAGCGGGGGATGGAGTCGGGACTCCAGGCCAGGCAGGCTGGTTGTGGCAGCCACCAGGACGCAAACCCACCAGCACCTGGAGACAGAACAGTGGAGCAGACAGAAGCCAGGGGCGGGGCTCCGGGGTGAGGGGATATCTCATGATGGTGCTTGTTCTCCTTAAATACATGATGGCCTGCTGTGCGTCCCACCCAACGGCACCGCTCCACTGAACGAAGAGGGGTCATCACACCCAATGCACAGATAAAGCCACCGAGGCTTCTAAAACTTAATGACCTTCTCCCAGCCAGCAAGCAAGAGCCAGGAATTCAATCTGGGCCAAATCCATGGTCACCTCTGCCAACTTCAGGTCAGCTCCCTCACCAGCCCCATGCAACTTGGGCAAGCCCTTTTTTCCGGGTGGACCTCAGTTTCCACATCCACACAATGGGCTTGCTGAACTCGCTTCCTGAGCCCCAGCCCCGGGGAGGTAGCTGGGGAGATGGAACGAGACAGCTGCGGATGTGCAGGGGCTGCTGCCGTGGGCTCTGAAAGCTCAGGAAGATTGACATCTACAACAGCGTGCCCCATGGCCCGCAGGAGCCTCTGCCAGCAAAGATTCAATTATGGTCATTACGGTGCACTTAGGAAAACCAGGGCGCCGGCTAATACATCGGAGAGGGACTGCCAACAACAGAGGTTGCGTCAAAACCCGTTTTCTACTTAACCCTCACTTAAACAGAAAATCCATTTAACCACGAGGCAACACTCTGTCTTCCCAGCCTCCCACCACTTGGCTTTTATCACTGTCTGCCACTTGGCTCGATATTTTTATCATCCTGAAGCTGCCTAAGAAGGGAAAAAAAATGAATCCACGGACGGACAGGAAGGTGTCACCCACCTCCATGGCTGTACAGCCCTGGACCAGTGCCTTCCAACTCTCACTGCCTCCAACGTGGCAGGAGGAAGACAGTTCTTATTCCCACAGCCTGCCATGGATGTTGGCAGGACCTGGAGGAAGCAGCTCAGGGGGTGGGAGGTGGAGGGAACACTGACTCGCACCCCCCACCTTTCCCTCCCACTCCCCCGTCCCCAGGCAGGGAGCACACATCTGGAGTGATCAGGGGCTCCCAGGCTGTGCCTTACGGGGATCACAGGCACCCAGCAGTCTCTCAGGGTGCCGAGCCGCGGGGCAGCCTGGATGGCAGCCGCCAGGGGAGGCATGAAGGACACTGGACAGTGCTCCCCACACAATGGGAAAGCAAAACCCACCAGCCACATCACTGTCTCTGCTGTCACATACAGTGGCGTGGACTACGCCGTGGAAAAAGACACGCCAGGCACGGGGCTGCCGGAGGAAGCTGAACTTGAACTTCTAGGTACACAACAAATACTGCGGTGTACCTCTCTCATAGCACACAGAGCAAATACCGCATGGGCTAAAATCATGCTATAAATTTAACTCATTGGTTATATAAAGTCCAAAAAATTGTTAAACTTTTATTTTTCTTTATCCAGTTGCGAGGTGGACACACACACACACACACACACACACACCCTACACGTACCATATGTTGGGTCATGACCCAAAGGGCCACAATGGCTGGGAGATGGAAGGTGAGGAACACAATCCAGGTCCCCACGTGTGTGGGTGGCAGGGAACCAATCCCTAGAGCCGCCACTGCTGCTTCCCAGGGGCTACACCGACAGGAAGCTGGAGCCAGAGCCACAGACCAAACCCAGGCACTTTGATGTGGGATGCGGCAACTTCACTGCTCCGCCAAATGCCCTCCCTCAGAGTTCAAGTCCAAGCAGGTGTCCTGTGATTGTGTCCCCTAGACCCAGGAGGCTCGCAGGTGACAGGGACGCTGGGAGCAGGTGGTGTGACCCACAGTGGGGGAGGGGGCAGTTCCAGGAAGGAACCCCACGCGCAGCAAGGGGTGGGGCGCAAAGAAAAGCAGGAAGCCGGACTGAGCGGATTTTCTGATGATGGCCGTGTCCGCGCCCGGCCTGGGTGTGCACAAAAGCAGGAAGCCGAGGGGCCTCTGTCCGGGCCGGGCAGCGGAATGATCTCTTTCCCGTCTGTTTTCCAAGCGTCCTGATGATGGTTTCACGATAACGGCCACGTATCCACAACCCAGGGGCCGGCCTCCTCTGTGTGTGTGTGTGTGGCGGGAGCCCTGGGGTTCTGTGAGGTGGGTGGGCTTGGTGGCAGGTGGCCCCTGGGTGCTCAGTAAGAGATGACGGGCAGAAAGGAAGAGAGGAGAGGAGCAGGCAGGAGGACCCTGGTTTGCAGGCACAAAGGCAAGGTCGGGGCGACCGCGAGTCTCTGACTTCCGGGGGGCACAGGGAGCTGCCTCCGATCTGGGTCCTCCTTCTCCCAGGGGACAGGGCCCTTGTGGTCCAGGGCCAGTGGTCTGCATCCCCATCACCCCACGTGGCTGGCATGTGCTACAGAACTCAGGGCCCAGGCTGCGGAGCTGGCCCCCGAGACGAGACGATGAGACGAAAGCAGATTCCACATCCTCACCCTCTGCCTCCTCCCTCTCCCGGGGGATGCGCCTACCTCGTGGTTCAAGTTCAGTTTAAACAGATGTCGTGTTCCTCAGAAGCCCCGTCTTTGAAGTCTGGGAGGAAAACTTCAGCTCCAAAGGGAACTTTCCTACCAAAAAGGCTCTCCGGGGAGTCTGGGCAGAAATAAGAAAACAAAACCCCTGGATCCTTATCTCCCGGTATTTATGAGATTTTTTAATTAGTACAGCTGCCTCTGCAGACTGTGCTGCTGCACGGGAAGTGGCTGGAGGAGGAAGGAAGGACGGAGCTAGGGCTCCAGCTGAGTGGGGCGGGATCTCCTCCCCCGGGCGGGCGGGTGTAGCCTGGCAGCCACCAGGGTGAACAACCTTCTGCACTTGGGGCCTCCAGGGCCCAGGGCTCCAAGACCAGGCTCAGGTGCACTGCTGGCGCCCTGTCGGAACTGCAGCCCCAGGCTTCCCTGTGCTGGTTCTGTCCTGCCTCCTCTCTCGCCTGGAAACCACCTGGCCACATAGCAGGATGAAGCCGCAGCCCGTCTCCCCCTTCTTTCCACCTGCCATCCCCCACCTTCTAGCAACATCCCACACGGGAGTCCCCAGGTTCAAGTGTGACCTCCGCTCTCAATTCCCGCTTGCTGCTGATGCAGACCCTGGGAGGCAGCATGACAGTGCTGGTAACTGGGCCCCTGCCACCCACATGGAAGGCCTGGATTGAGTTTCCAGTTTCCAGTTTGTGCCACTGTAGGCAGCTGGGCAGTGAACCAGCAGGTGCGAGCGCTCTCGTGCCCTTCCTCTCTCTGCCTCTGAACTAGATAAAGGAAAATGTTTCTTTTGTAATCTTGCTACAGGTGCACCAAGACTGGGGCAGCGGCTGCCCTTCCAGGCAGCTTGGCAGTAAGGGGCATGGATTGCCAGTGGGGAATTCAACAACAGACCCCAAACCAACTCCAAATCAGCAGCCCTGCGCAGCGGCAATGATAATGCAGCCTCCTTTGAATGAGACGCGCGGTGACCTCAGTTCTAACTATCGCTGCCGTGGCTGGTGAGTTTTAATTATACATGGGGAAGCTTGAATTGAGCACATTTGTATTACACAGCCTGGGCAAACCGTTGTGCTTGTGTGGACATTCACCGAGGGAACCCCCACGTCCTCCGGCAGATTCCAGCCCTTGCAGGCTCTTGCGACACGTGTGAACTTGCCATGCAGAACAGGGCAAGTTCTTGTTGCGTGCAGCTCAAGTCTCCGACAACCCTGGCAGGGCTGCACGGCCCTGTGCTTACACAGAGAAGGAAAACAAACGGCAGCACGGCGACACCGAGGACAGAGTCACAGACACTGGGACACTGCTAGCACCTCTGAGCCACGTGGCGTTCCCTTTCAAAGGGTGTTTCACCTCTTCTCTCTCTCTTTTTTAAAGATTCCCAGTAATGTAATTAAAATGTGATAACTCACGACTTTCCTTTTCTGGGTTGCAACGGCCACTTCCTGCGGTGGTTATGAGGTTCACTGAAAATCTCCCCTCCTATCTTTCCCAGCCATGGTGATAAGTGCTTGGATAGCATCATTATGACTGAATAGGACCTTGTTGTGCAGAAAAGGCGGGTCTGGCCAAACTGCCTGTCCCAGGTGTCACTCTACAATAAGAGCCACTCTTCTGTGCCAACGTGCCCAGGCCACAGCCTGCCTGGCATGCGGTCAGATGTCACTCTGACATTTCCCAGGGTAGCCTGAGAAAAGCAAGCTACCTCCCTGGTGGGAGTGGACCTTGTCCGATGGGCTAAAGGTTAAGGGCTATGGCTGGCACCTGGCCCCTTCTAGAATTCAGGTGTTGCAACGCCAAGGCCAATGCAAGGCCACAGAAAGGGGATGGCCCAAGAGTGCTGCTCCCTTGGGACTGCAATGGACATCCCTAGAAAACAGGCTCCAGGCAGGGTTCAGTCTCCCGCCCGTCCGCCTTCCTCCACGTGCAGACACAGCAAACCTCCTCACCCGAGGATAGAGCCCTCGCCAGACCACGGAACCTGCTGGCACCTTGGTCTTGACCTTGTCAGCCTCCGGGAATGTGGGAGAATGCATCCCCGTGCCTTCCAAATCCCCCATGCTGGGGCGTCTGGTTGCAGCAGCAGGAAGCAGACACTAAGAGCTGGCGGAGCTCCCCCTGGAGCTGTGGGACCTCGGTGCGCTCCTGACCTTGGACCAGAACTCTCATCGTGGGCTCTCCTGAGTCTCTAACTTGCCAGCTGCAGACCTGGGGACATCTCAGCATCTTTAATGAACCAGTCCCTAGGACTAAATCTCTATGCACGTGCACACATGCGCAAACAAGCACACACACACACACACACACACATGTGCACAGGGGGACACCCTGCTGGTTCTGTTTCTCTAGGGAATCCTCAGTGCAACACCCCGCCGTGCTCCTACCACAGCTCTCACAGCTGATGTTGAGCAGCGGTGGCTTTCTGGGAAGGCATTGATGGCCACTTACCTCGGGACCCAGCTGAAGAGCTCCGTGCCTGTGGCACAGTCAGCACTTGGTAAGTGTCTTCAATGGAATGAATGAAGCCGGAACGCAGGATAAGCACAGACCTTCATTCCTCCCTCGGTCCTCAAGCCCCTGCCTCTGTCCCTGCCCTAAGATGCACACCTCCATTCCAGTCCCCTGCCTGGCACCGGGACTTACTCCAGTTACGTGCGACTGCCCAGGAGAGTGGCTCAGACCTCTCACCTTCCCCCCACACCTGCTCTCCTGAAGTCCCTCCCGGGCAGCCTCCTTAAAGCTGCAGGTGTGAGACACGCTCTCAACTGACGGCTCCCGCATCTGTGTCTCCAGCCCCAGCCCCAACCTCACCCCTGAACTCCATCCTCCACCTCCATCGCCATCTTTCCACCTCCACTTGGGTGGCTAACAGGCATCTTGCCTTAAGATGCCCCCAACAGAACTCGGCACACCCTGCCCCACCCCTCCACCCCCGCCCAGCCCAGCTCTGACCCCTTCATCTCTAGCCAGACCCTGCGGTTTATCCCCAATTCCTTCCTGTTTCTTGCACCTGCCCCCCAACCCCAGCCAACCTATCCATGAGTCCCATTAGCCTTGAACTTCATGGCTCCTGACACTGCCCCATGGCCATCTGGCTTCTGTCTCCCCCAACTAGGAGGCAAGGTCCAGGAAGATGAGGCTGCACCATTTCATTTACTGCAGCACTCCCGGCATGGAAGGCAGTGTCAGTGCCGGCAGCCAATATGCGCTGAATGAATGAATGAACAGGGACTCACATCTGACATTTGCCTGCCAATCACCTCTGGGCCTGGGCATTGTCATCACCACACCCATTCTGCAGATGCAGAAACTGAGGCTCAGAGAACAGAAGAGATTAACCCCTGAGACCTCGCAGATAGCTGGGGACAGAGCCAGGATCACAGCACAGGTTTTGGAAAACAGGAAATCAATAGAAAAAAATTAATAAAACCAGCAGCTGCTCCTTTGAAATGATTTGTAAAATCCATAAGCCTCGTGTTGGGTTCACGGAGGAAAAGAAAGAGCCGGTGCTCAAGCTGCTCGTGGCAGAAGTGGACTGGGAGTCATCACAATGGTCCCTACAGACACTGGAGGGACCACGAGGGAAGGAACCCACTCCGCATCTACAGACTGGATGATAGACAGACGCAGACCAGCTCCTCGGAAGACACAAAGTGGCAGCACTCACACGAGAAGCTGCTGAAACCCTGAACAGGCCTGGCTCTATATACGGCATCAGGCCCAGGTGGGGTCACCGGCGAGTCCCACCAAACATTTAAAGGAGAAACTGTACGTTTCTCAGCAATCTCTTCCAACACAGAGAAGCAGAGAGGGTGCTTCCTGACTCATCCTACGAGGCCAGCATTATGCTCTCATCAAACTCACGGACACTGTAAGACGAGAAAGCCACACATCAGTATCTCACCAACACTGATGGAAAACTCCTCGACAAACATCAGCCGATGGAATGGAACGATTTAGATAAAGAATTGCATGCCGTGGTCACGTGGGATTTCTCCCAGGTGGGCAACGCTGGTTCAGGGTGCAAACATCAACCAGCCTAGAAGATATGACACACGATCATATCAACAGGGGAAGAAAAGGAGTTTAAGAAAACCCAACATCCCTTTCTTTTTCTTTTTTTTTTACAAGATTTATTTATTGGGGCCGGTGCTGTGGTGTAGCAGGTGAGGCTGCTGCCTACAGTGCTGGCATCCCATACAGGCACCTGTTCGAGTCCCGGCTGCTCTACTTCCGATCCAGCTCTCTGCTGTGGCCTGGAAGAGCAGTAGAAGATGGCCCAAGTCCTTGGGCCCCTGCACTTCCGTGGGAGACCTGGAGAAAATTCTTATCTCCTGGCTTCAGATCAGCGCAGCTCTGGCTGTTGTGGCCATCTGGGGAGTGAGCCAGCAGATGGAAGACTTCTCTCTCTCTCTCTCACTCCCCCATCCCTCTACCTTTCTGTCACTCTGCTTTTCAAACAAATAAATAAATCTTTTTAAAAATTTCTTTATTCATTCCAAAAGCAGAGTGACAGAGAGAGAGAAAGAGAGAGAGAGAGAGAGAGATTCATCTTCCATTGACTGGGTCACTCCCCAATTGCCCACAAATATTGGATGTGAGCCAGGCTGAAGCCAGGAGCCAGGAACTCCACTTGGGTCTCCACGTGGATGGCAGGGACTGAAATACTTGAGCCATGACCTGCTGCTTCCAGGGCCTTAGCAGGGAGCTGGATTGGAATTGGAGCAGCCGGGACTTGAACCAGCCACTGTGTCAAGTAGCAGCTTAACTCACTGCACCACAACAGGTGTCCTCGCAACACCCATTTCTGATTCAGAAACAAAACATCTCTGCAAACTAGGAAGAGAAATCTTATTTACTTAATAAAGAACATCTATAAAAATGCCACAGTTAATGGCGAGAGACACGAGGCTTTCCTGTTAAAATCGGGAAGGCAAGGATGCGCCCTGTGGCTGCCCCTTTCCAACATTGTATGGCTCAGCTAAAATACTGAGACAAGAAAAGGAGATAAGAGACACACAGAGAACGAAGGAGTAAAACTCTCTTTGCTTGCAGATGACAAGATTATGCAAAAAGAAAAATCTAAAAGAAATGAAAAAAAAATCCCGAAACAAG